CTAATGCTTTTAACCTTTCGACTATTTTGGTCGTACATATGTACGTCTTACGAGTCAATGTTTTTGACATTAATACGTGTAAATTCTAACAGCTTCATATCAAGCTGGAAAAAACTGGTAGCCCTACACGTGAGAATGGGTCTGCTGGATGGGTGTGCACAGTATGAAAAAATCGGTGACTCAGTGGTGCATTGTGAGAACGCCATTTTAGTAGTCCTTGTTCACCATGCCTCTCAGTAAGAAGTACCCGAATCCTCGCCAAATTGGAGGTCTTCTGTTCCCAAGTGATGGTTCTAACACCGATGGAAGTGACAGTGAAAGTATTTCCATGGTTTCCAAGAGGGTGCGACCGAAAGCAGCGCCCAGGATAACGTAATTAGTGATGAAAACGCAGATGACCCACAACCTTCCACCTCTGGTGCTGGGCCGTCTCATTCATGCTCACCTGTACCATGACGAAAAGAAACTTTCCCCCATGTACAGGACTCTGATGTGAACAGTGAAAGTGAGTGATAGTGATTTCCAGACTACTGAAAGCAGTTAGAGTTGTGACAGTGAGGGAGAATATTCTCCAGCTAAGCGGCAGTATGTATGATGCAGCATGCATTGTGGTAGTGGGCCATATGCCATTCCAAGGAAAAAGTAAATCTAGGAGTACATCCCGTGGCCCTACACCACGAACTAATATTATCACACTGGCCGATTCCCACCAAGGCAGGGTGGCCCGAAAAAGAAAAACTTTCACCATCATTCACTCCATCACTGTCTTGCCAGAAGGGTGCTTTACACTACAGTTTTTAAACTGCAACATTTACACCCCTCCTTCAGAGTGCAGGCACTGTACTTCCCATCTCCAGGACTCGAGTCCGGCCTGCCGGTTTCCCTGAACCCCTTCATAAATGTTACTTTGCTCACACTCCAACAGCACGTCAAGTATTAAAAACCATTTGTCTCCATTCACTCCTATCAAACACGCTCGCGCATGCCTGCTGGAAGTCCAAGCCCCTCGCACACAAAACCTTCTTTACCCCCTCTCTCCAACCTTTCCTAGGCCGACCCCTACCCCGCCTTCCTTCCACTACAGACTGATACACTCTTGAAGTCATTGTTTCGCTCCATTCTCTCTACATGTCCGAACCACCTCAACCCTTCCTCAGCCCTCTGGACAACAGTTTTGGTAATCCGCACCTCCTCCTAACTTCCAAACTACGAATTCTCTGCATTATATTCACACCACACATTGCCCTCAGACATGACATCTCCACTGCCTCCAGCCTTCTCGCTGCAACATTCATCACCCATGCTTCACACCCATATAAGAGCGTTGGTAAAACTATACTCTCATACATTCCCCTCTCTGCCTCCAAGGACAAAGTTCTTTGTCTCCACAGACTCCTAAGTGCACCACTCGCTCTTTTCCCCTCATCAATTCTATGATTCACCTCATCTTTCATAGACCCATGAAAGATGAGGTGAATCATAGAATTGATGATGATAGTGAAGATGATATTGTTACAATGGGAATGCGTAATGTGCGTGGGGGCAGAAGGTGGGTGGTGGTAGTAGCAAGAGTCGTGTGGCACCAGCCCACGTTGCTAACTCAGCACAGCCACAACTTGCACAACCACATCCACCTTACAATATCCAGTACCCACCAGAAGACTGCATCTGGGATTGGCAGGAAGGTGCAAGTGAACATGACAGACGTGTGGGGCACAGTGAGTGGAAATCGCAAGTATATGCCTAGGTTTGACGCAGGCACTGGTAGAGGCGAGGTGCAGGAGTTTGCTGTCAATGGCATCATGGCATTTCGGTGGCATGATAAACGCGATGTCACATTGTTGACAACAGTTCACCGACACGAAATGGCAGATAGTGGCAGGCAGAACACGAACACACGAACACAAACAAACGCGCGAACACACGCACAAATACGCACACGCGAACACACAAGAACACGCGCGCGCGAACACACGAACACACAAACACACAAACACACACGCAAACACGCAAACACACGCAAACACACGAAACACACGAACACAACACACGAACACAAACACACGAACACAAACACGAACACAAACACACGAACACAAACACACGAACACAAACACACGAACACAAACACACGAACACAAACACACGAACACAAACACACGAACACAAACACACGAACACAAACACACGAACACAAACACACGAACACAAACACACGAACACAAACACACGAACACAAACACACGAACACAAACACACGAACACAAACACACGAACACAAACACGAACACAAACACGAACACACGAGAACACACACACCGAACACACGTGGTAACACACACAACAAGCCTAGTGTCTAATCGACATGTGCCTAGGACAAAATGGTAAATAAAAATAACACGAACACACACACACGAACACACACACACACGAACACACACACGAACACACACAAACACACACACGAACACACACACACGAACACACACACACGAACACACACACACGAACACACACACACGAAACACACACACGAACACACACCAAACACAACACACACACACGAACACACACAACACGAACACACACGGAACACACACACACACACGAACACACACACACACACACGAACAACACACGAACACACACACACACACGAACACACACACACACACACGAACACACACACACACACACGAACACACACACACACACGACACACACACACACACGAACACAACACACACACACGAACACACACACACACACACGAACACACACACACACACGAACACACACACACACACGAACACACACACACACACGAACACACACACACACACAACAACACACACACACGAACACACACACACACACGAACACACACACACACACGAACACACACACACACACGAACACACACACACACACGAACCACACACACACACGAACACACACACACACACGAAACACACACACACACAACGAAACACACACACACACACGAACACACACACACACACGAACACACACACACGAACAACACACACACACACACGAACACACACACACACACACGAACACACACACACACACGAACCACACACACACACGAACACACACACACACACACGAACACACACACACACGAACACACACACACGAACACACACACACACAACACACACACACACGAAACACACACACACGAACACCACACCACAACACACACACACACGAACACACACACACGAACACCACACGAACACACACACACACGAACACACACACACGAACACACACACACCAGAACAACACCACAACCAACACACACGAACCACACACGAAACAACACACCAAACACACAAAACGAACACACACACACACAACACACACACACACGACATACACACGAACACACACACACACGAACACACACACCGAACACCACACACAGCACACACACACACACGAACACACACCACACGAACACACACCACACGAACACACACACACACGAACACCGCACACACACAACACGACAACACACACGAAACGCACACACACGAGAACACGCACACACACACGAACCCACACACCACGAACACGCACACACACACGAACACGCACACACACACGAACACGCACACACACACGAACACGCACACACACACGAACACGCACACACACACGAACACGCACACACACACGAACACGCACACACGAACACGCGCACACACGAACACGCACACACACACGAACACGCACACACACACGAACACGCACACACACGAACACGCGCACACACACGAACACGCGCGCACACACGAACACGCACACACACACGAACACGCACACACACACGAACACGCACACACACACGAACACGAACACACACACACGAACACATTTAAAACCTGCAGCTATGATGAACTAGAACCACAATATGAGCTTAGTGGACAAATGCGACATGCAGATTGGGTTTGCTGATTGTGTTCGCAAAGAGTTACAAGTGGTACATAAAACTTTCCATTTTCTTTATATTTCCATGCTGAATGCTTGTATGTATAACTAAGACCAACAAACCCAAATATGGTGAATTTTGTCAGTGATCAGACTAATATTCAAGTACCAAGGAACAACACCTGCAATAGACCAGCGCCCACGAAATCAACATGTCCTCTCGTCTGAGGCCTGGTGATCACTACCCCATACAACTGCCTCTTACTACTTTCAAGAAAACTGCTCGGAAAAGGTGTTGTCAGCACATACCACAAAACTACCACTTGTTTTATGCGTGTAAAATACCACTGTGCATATACCCATGTTTCAAAGAATTCCACAAGCTGCAGCAGTTCTAGGAAAGTGTCCAGTGACTACATTTGTATATTATAGAATAGTAATAAAAAAAATTGTAAACTATATGAGAATGTCTGGATTTAGTGTTGCACACAAAGTGTATACATATGTACATTGCACCTTACTTTGGTCTCAGGCCACACAAGTTACTTGAAAAATAGTGGAAAAAACAAGAAACCATCGAATAGGAGTAAAACAAAAGTTTACTGGGCGAGCGGCATTCACCGCTGTTGCCATATGCAGCTCATTTTCAACAAACTTTACACCTTATTTTGGCAAGTACTGATCATTTACTAATTTTATAATATAAATAACAATGGTTATAAATGACCATAATTTTTAAAGGGGTGGACCGGTAAGCCAGCGGAAGGCCTCGGTCAGATGACCAAAAGCTCCAAAGGCGGATCATCTGACAGACCCGCGTTAGGAAACATTTGTCCTGTTTCCTGACGAACCTTACCTAACCTAACTGATTTTTTTTTTTTATGCTTATAACTCGGCAAATTAATCCTAACATTTTGGAAAGACTTTTTTCGAACATTTTTCGACAGTTTCAGAAATGGGCTTGCGGCAGTCAAAGGGTTAAGGACAACTTAAAATGCTGGATGCTAAAATCATACAGAAATGCACCATTTACTTACCCGCTCGAACATCACCAGTGGCTACCTCAGCCAGGTATCTGTAGTAATCACCCTTCATCTTAAGGTAAAAGACCTTAGATTCTGGATTGGAGGCCTTAGGAATAAGGAACTTGTCAAGAAGACCCTGAAGAATAAAGAATAACCTTGTTAGTGTTGCCTTTTATACTAGTGAATTTAATTAAAATTTTATAAAACAGCCATCAAATTCCAATGTACTTTAAGAGCCCAATGGTAAAAGTGCAGGAAATTTTCAACATGTGTCAACAATTACGAATAAGTTACATATGGATACAACTGCAAAACCATTTCATAAACCCAACCCCCACAACAGCCCCCCCCCCCCTTCCATCATAATGATTATTATATATTGCCTAATTTCATCAGTAGGCTTTAATTTGTCGAAGTTCAAAAAATCAAATACATTATCCTGACTGCTTGAAAAGGGTACAGTTTATTGCTAGGCAGAAAGTGTTCAGAGATAGACAATAGATGTATGACTGGTCTCAAATCTGTACAATGAAATCGCTCCACAAAAAGCAAGACTTGGCAGATAGTACTACATACCCTCCAAAGTAAGGGTATTGGGAATATGCAAGGAAAGTCAATGGGGCTCCAAGACCAGTCCCCCATTACACACAAAGGGGATTACCAATAGAGTCCTGGTGATATCCAAAAGAAAACTTTACGGATTCCTAAATTCAGTACCAGACCAGCCAGGCTGTGATTCATACATCGGAATGTGTGCTTAACAGACTGGTTAATCAGGTCTTGAGCCAGAGGCCTGGTCATGGACCAGGCTGTATGAGCATTGACCACCAGGACACCTTCCAGGTTGTTTGTTACCAGATACAAACCTCCAACCCTTCGAATAATTTAACAGTTGAAAACTAATCAACCAGAATATAATGGTCTGGACTAAAGTTCTAGGGTCCCAGTAAGCACAAGATGGAAAATTAAGACAATGCACGGCCTAAGTGACAAATTAGAGAACAACAGCACAATCCTCAAGCTGGCAAAACTGTAAATTAGGAAAAAAAAAAAAAAACCATCCTATTCAGCTTAATATTTTCTCAAGTCTAGCAGCAGGAGCGGAGGCTGGCAGACAGCAGCGGCTAACTGGCAGGTTAGTGGGCGGAGGCTAAATGGCAGACTGGTAGGCAGAGGTGTTAACTTGGTAAGTTATGTGGATGGTGGGGAAGGTAGTGATATTTATAGAGCAGATACCTAAAACAATTAAACTTCATATTTAAGCTTTGAAGAACTGCCTAAAAGGTGAACATTTCATTGAAAACATTAAATACTGGTATGTGAAAAGCAGCAGCAACTACAGATGTATTTGTGTGGCAATGGCTAAGTTTGCTGCTGTCAAAAGTAGACTGGTTGAGGTTCACATGCTTGGTGGTTAAAACCCCTTTTACATCTATTAATAATTTTAATTGGGGGGAAAGGCTATGCTAACAAAAACCATCAAGTGCTGGTGGCAATGACACCGGGAAGGGCAGGAGACTGAGCTGCTGGATAAGTACAGGTCAGCCACAGAAGTCAGGTCTAAGGCAGGGATCCCCAATCAAATGTAGCATCTTGCCTAGAAAGTGAATGGGCAATGAATGTATATCTATGGCAATTGGTATAATTGCTGGCTAGACAGGTACTACAAGGAACTTGCAATCCCATTCGTAACTGATGTACCTTTGAAGAGTTGAGAGAAACTACTGAGCCCAGCCATGGGCCAGGCTAGTCTGGTGCTTGCCTGGTCAACCAGGCTGTTGCTGCTGGAGGTCCGCTGCCCCACATATCCCTCACAACCTAGTGAAAAATTTCTGCATTTTCTACCTTGCTGCCATTTAGTGGGATGCTGAACACCGACTCTTACTGTTTTTTTAGTATTTCACTCATTTCCTGTTCATCAGTAAACTAATTTCCTTTCAATTCTACAGGTAGTTCTTAGCTTGGATTTTGCATAGGAATAGAAATATTTTGGGTTTCTTGCAATATCCTGTATGGCCCTTTGTTCCCTTTGTACTACTGCAAGGTATGACATCCTAAGTTTTTGCTCTAATCCAGTGATCTCTTGGTCAAGTCTTTCCTCTGTTTTAGCAATTCAGTAACCCGTTTGCTTCTGTACCATCTACGCTCTATACCTGATCTTCTGGGTTTCCTCAATGGTACGTGCTTCATACATACCTTGTATGTTTCTCTATTCAGCTTCTCTAGGCACTGGTGGGGATTTAGAGTGCATATGTGATATGTATGCAAGGGATGGGGTTCATCTGTCTGGGGCTAGAGTGGTTGCATTAGCCAATTCGATTGAGGGGGTCATTGACTCGTCTAAGACTTTAAATAGATTAGAGGTATGGGTGTTTGTGGGAAGGCTGCAGTACTAGGATTGAAAACAGCAGATATTACCAGGATACCCCAGGGATACGTTTAAAAGAATATTCAAAATAAAGTTGCTAGTAAAGGCAAATCAATTGTTCAACATAGTAGAGGGCAACGAGGGACTAGCTCCCTCAAGGTTTACTATACAAATAGGAGTAAGAAATAAGATGAACGAGCTAAGATTACTTGCAAGTGCAGGTAATAGATATTACTGTTATAAAGGCAACCTGGTAGATAGAGAAATGCCTTCTGAATGCAACATACAGGGTTATAAACTATTCCACACTGGTCGGGTCAACAGGATCACGTCCGAAACACCTCAACCCTTCCTCAGCCCTCTGGACAACAGTTTTGGTAATCCCGCACCTCCTCCTAACTTCCAAACTACGAATTCTCTTGCATTATATTCACACCACACATTGCCCTCAGACATGACATCTCCACTGCCTCCAGCCTTCTCCTCGCTGCAACATTCATCACCCATGCTTCACACCCATACAAGAGCGTTGGTAAAACTCGACTCTACTCTCATGCATTCCCCTCTTTGCCTCCAAGGACAAAGTTCTGTCTCTCCACAGACTCCTAAGTGCACCGCTCACCCTTTTCCCCTCATCAATTCTATGATTCACCTCATCTTTCATAGACCCATCCGCTGACAAGTCCACACCCAAATATCTGAATACATTCACCACCTCCATACTACCTCCAGTCTGATATCCAATCTTTCATCACCTAATCTGTTATAGAATGGAAGATATATTCCAGAAATAGAAATGATTTTAATTCATTTGAGGAAAGAAAGTAGCTTGAAATTTAAGAACATAAGGAACACTGCAACAGGCCTAATGACCCATGCAGAGCAGGTCCATGCCCCCCCCCCAGGATGAGCCCAATGACCCACCCAGTCTGGTCACCTCCACTCAAGGATTGAGCACAGCACCAGACCCAGCAGCACAAGCTAGTCAGGTCCAATTCACACCCACTCGTATTTATCTAACCTATTTTTAAAACTACACAACGTTTTAGCCTGAACTGTACTCGGGAGTTTGTTCCACTCATCCACGACTTACCAAACGAGTGCTTTCCTATATCCTTTCTGAATCTGATTTTTTCCAACTTGCAACCATTGCTGCGAGTCCTGTCTTGGTTGGAAATTTTCAGCACGCTACTTGCACCCCCTTTATTCCCGTTTTCCATTTATACACCTCGATCATATCCCCCCTAATTCTACGCCTTTCGAGGGTGCAGATTCAGGGCCCTCAGTCTATCCTCGTAGGGAAGATTTCTGATACATGGTATCATCATTGTCATCATCCTCTGTACGTTTTCCAGAGCATTTATATCCATTCTGTAACATGGTGACCAGAACTGAGCAGCATAGTCTAAATGAGGCCTAACCAAGGGTATATATAGTTGAACAACCTGAGGACTTCTATTATTTATACTTCTAGATATGAAGCCAAGAATTCTGTTAAGCTTTATTGTGAACACTTATGCACTGTTGTCTTGGTTTTAGATTACTGCTAACCAGAACTCCTAAATCCTTTTTGCAATCAGTAGTATTAAGATCTACATTATTTAGTTTATATGTGGCATGGTTATTTAACTGTCCAACATTTAGAACTTTGCATTTGTCAATATTAAACTGCATCTGCCACTTCTCCGACCATTGCATCAGTCTATTCAAATCATCCTGGAGTGCTCTAGTGTCCTCATTAGAATGAATTGGATGGCCTATTTTAGTGTCATCAGCAAATTTGCTTATGTCGCTATTTATTCCCTCATCTATGTCGTTTATGTAAATTGTGAACAACGGGCCCAACACTGACCCCCGAGCAGCACCGCTTGTGACGTGCCCCCATTCTGATTTCTCCCCATTTATGCAAACACTGCTGCCTGTGTCAGCCATGCCAAATATCTCCAAATATCTCCTATTCCGTGCCTTAAGTTCCCTCAATAGCCTCTGATGTGGAACTATTGAGAGCCTTATTGAAGTACATACACAATATATTCATTACCATGATCTACCTCCTCAAACACCTTAGTGAAAAAAGTTAGTAAATTCTTAAGACAGGAACGCCCCTTTGTAAAACCGTGTTGAAATTCATTAATCAATCTGCCTATCAGATGACTACAAATTGCTTCGGCAATTATTGATTCCATAAATTTTCCCACTATGGAGGCAAGGCTTATTGGTCTATAGTTCGAAGCCAAGGACCCGTCACCTGCCTTGTAAATAGGTATTACATTTGCTATTTTCCACATCACTACAAACTGGCATAGTGACTGATATGTTAAAAAGATTAGCCAAAGGTATGCTAAGTTCCTCTTAACATTCCTTTAACACCCTTGCAAACAGTTCATCAGGGCTTGGGGATTTTTTAGGTTTTAGCTTGTCTGAGGACCATGTCGCTAGTTACTGCAATCGTACAGTTTATTATCCTGTTCTACATAATCTATTTCAGGAATATCGCTAGTATTTTCCTGGGTGAAAATCGAGAGGAAGTAGATAGAGAATTTCTCTCACATCCTTATCACTGTCAGTGATCTGACCAGAGTTACTCTTAAGTGGGGCCAATCTTGTCCCTAATCTTGCTTCTGTATACCTGAAAGAACCCTTTTGGGTTAGTCTTTGAATCCCTTGCGACCTTAGCCTCAATCCCTTTTTGCTTTTATTCCTTTCTATTTCTCCAATTGAATATATTGATTTCTTTAACTGTCCATCCCCTCTTAATATGCCTATAT